GACCATGGGCACCTATGTACGCCCCACCTCCAGCTATTCCCCCAAACAGGACAGAATTGTTTCTATGTTGTATGTGGTTGTTACTCCCCTGCTAAACCCTTTGATCTACAGTCTGAGGAATAAGCAAGTTAAGAGGGCTCTGGTCAAAGCACTTGGATTGAAAAGATTTCCCTGAATGGGCTCGGTTCATTTTTTCCTGTTCCTCAGTACTATCAAAATGTGTTGTTTAGCCCATTCAGAAGTATCTCTCAGATGTGGCCCAAATCCCCAACACTGCGCACAGGTCTGTTTTTAAGGGAGAAGGCCACATGGTCTCCTCCCTCTTTCCTTTTCATTTGTCTTGCACAAAGTGAGAAAATCACTTTTGTATGGTGGTCCACATTCTCTCTCCAACTGTAGCAGTAAGCAGGGACAAAGCAAAAGAAGTTAACCTCTTGGCTATAAGGCTTTAAGCAGGCCTGACACTTGACAAGTCCTCTTGCTCCCTATTGGGCAGGTGGTGTTGCGGCCTGGCACCATCTCCCCTGCAGAATCCTGTGGCAGTGCTGGGTGCAGGACCTAGTCAGATCATAGCCTGCCTGAAAATTGGCCAATCACAGGCGGGCTGCTGTGCAGGACCTCCCTGGGGGAGGGGCAAACAGCACTGGGGGGATAAATACAGAGCCTGCCCAGGCCTCTTCACACACTTTGTCTCAACTGTGTAATTCCACTCCATTGGAAATAGGCCAGTTCTGCTTGTTTTGTTATTTTAGAAGGAAAATGTGAAAACTCACCCCCCCTGTAGCCATAGGGAATGCAGCAATGGTCTCTTGCTGTTTTAAATGGCACCACCTGTCATGCACAGTAATAATAATAATAATAATAATAATAATAATAATAATAATAATAATTTATTTGTACCCCACCCATCTGGCTGGGTTTTCCCAGCCACTCTGGGCGGCTTCCAACAAAGATTAAAAATACATTAAAATATTACACACAGCCCTGAACAGGGCTGCCTTCAGATGTCTTCTGAATGTCAGGTAGTTGCTTATCTCTTTGACATCTGGTGGGAGGGCGTTCCACAGTAAAGGCGCCACTACCAAGAAGGCCCTCTGCCTGGTTCCCTGTAACTTGGCTTCTCGCAATGAGGGAACCGCCAGAAGGCCCTCGGCGCTGGACCTCAGTGTCTGGGCAGAACGATGGAGGTGGAGACGCTCCATCAGGTATACTGGGCCGAGGCCATTTAGGGCTTTAAAGGTCAACACCAAAACTTTGAATTGTGCTCGGAAACGTACTGTGTAAGTCCACAATTTACACAGGGGTTACGCTCCAGGAACGTTGCCTAAAGCCAAAATTGTGTATAGTCAAACCCCATTGTGTTCAATGGCCCGTGGGATTGCCAAAGGCATATTTTCTTGGAACCCCATCTGCCTTCCTTCCCCTTTTTATTTTTAAAAATTGCCACACATATAAAACTGAATGTGCACAAGTTAAATGCACATAAATTATGGGATTACTGTACTCATCTTTAAAATGAGATTGTTTCCCTTTTAACCTTTTAGGTACTACCGGTAATTTGGATTATTTATTGTTGTTCTGTTGTTCTCCCCTTGCTTGCCTCAGTGTGTGTGTGTGTATTTTGCTTTCTCAGAGAATTGTCCAGCACTTTTGTTGTTTATTCTTTTTTTCTGGGGGGGGGACTAATAACTTGGAACCATGTTCCCTACCAGACCCCCCACTTCTTCTCTGAGGAGTGGGTAAGGGTTGGGGGGGGGAGAGAGAGAGATAGAGGAGAGAGAGCCCTTGTTAGGATAAAACAAGCTTGCTCCATCTCCCATGTGACAACCCTTTAAATATTTGAAGATGGCTATCATATCTCCTCTCAGCCTCCTCTTTTCAAGGCTAAACATACCCAATTCCCTCAACTGTTCCTCCAAATGCTTGGTTTGCAGACCCTTGATCATTGTGGTCGCCCTCCTTTACACATATTCCAGTTTGTCAATATCCTTCTTAAATTGTGCTGCCCAGAACTGGACACAGTATCCCAGGTGTGGTTTGATCAAGGCAGAGCAGAGGGGGACTATTACGTCCCTTGATTGGGACACTATTATGGGGTTTGGAACTTAACAGGTTAAGTTGTTCCCATGATGCCTCAGCATTCTGACGTCAGCTTTAGAAGCTGGGAGGAGTTTTCTCTCTTCCTCTCTGGTCTTTTGAGAGGGAAGGACGCAGTTTGTCATGGCTGCGGTGAGTCCAGGAGTTTCCTGGGGAATGTCGGAAGAATAAAGGACTGTAAATAGACAAACCGGGCTTTGTGTGTTTGTCAGAGAAGCTAAGCCAAGCTACGTGACAGTTTTCACCGCTGTGTTAACTCTGCTGAGGCGTGACCGGAGCTACTGGAGACGGAGCAGAGTCTTGCGGCAGGGAAGTGTGCCGGACGGCCATAAAGAGCTAATTGGGGACCGTAAATCAATTAGCGGGGTCACGCCAAATCAATCAATCAATTCTACAACTATACCATATTTTTCACTCTATAAGATGCACCAGACCATAAGATGCACCTAGTTTTTGGAGGAAGAAAACAAGAAAAAAATATTCTGAATCCCAGAAGCCAGAACAGCAAGAGGGATTGCTTCGCAGTGATCCCTCTCGCTGTTCTGGCTTCTGGGATAGCCGCACGAAGCCTCTTCAGGGCAAGGGGAGCTTTCATCCCGCTGCCCTGAAGAGGCTTCACGTGGCTATCCCAGAAGCCAGAACAGCGAGAGAGTACTTCTGTTGATGCAGACTAGAATAGCATTATCTTTTTTTTGCCACTGCATCACATTGTAGATTCATGTTAAACTTGTGGTCTACTAAGATCCCTAGATCCTTTTCACATGCACTACTGGCAAGCCAGGTACTCCCCACCTCCCATTTTATATTTCTGCAGCTGATTATTCCTGCCTAAGTGCACAACCTTGTTAGTTTTGTTAGTTAGTTTTGGCCCAATTCTCCAATCTGTTGAGGTAACCTTGAATTCCGATTTTGTCTTCTGCTGCATTAGCTACCCCTCCCAGCTTTGTGTCATCTGCAAATCTGATGATCATCCCCTCCATTCTTTCATCCAAGTCATTTATAAATATGTTGAACAACAATGACCCAGGACAGAACTCATCAATCATTCATCAATCAATCATAGTTTTGTCTTCACTCATTGGCTAAAAACATTGAAAGGTGGGAATGGGCTATTTTTTAAATTAAAAAAAAAATAAAGGTCAGAGTATTCGCCTTCAGATAGGCATGGCCCCTAGTGCAATGACTTAAATTGTACCATTATAATCTGACCATAATTATGCTGTTTTTGCTTAGGAAGGGAGGAATGGGAAAGGAGGGCTAGTAAACCCCATTTCACACAAGACCCATATTCAAAGAGTTTTGACTCCAACTTAAACACTTTTAGAACAGATAGTCATTGTGTACTCTGAAGCATCAGTGAATGCAGGTGTAACATGAGTAGAAAAGGATGTGATAGACATTGCTGACTTCAGTGGTTTGGCACCTGAAGCCCTCTTGTCCAGCAGGAAATTTGAGCAGGTCAGCACAGTATGTGGATCCTCTTATGGAACACCCTTGGCTAGTAAATAGAGGGGAGAAATCATCTCCATGACTAGTGATGGGGGAGAAATACAATTCAGTTTGCATTCAAAGGCGAACCCATCTAATTTGCACTTTCTGAAACAATGAAACACACTGATGTCTCGAAATTTGCATTTCTCTGAATTTTGCAGTGCAGTTAAGTGATGTGTACAAAAATGCATAGATTAGGGGAAAGTATGCCTACAAATGCACCATTACTGAAAACATCATACAAAAATCCATGAGAGAAAATTGCTTTTCAAATATGTGTAAATCAGATATGGGGAAATTCAAACTAGAATGCTGCAGAATTTTCATGAGGACTATAAAAAATACAAACTGATATAGAAATGTGGACAACTGGAAATATGAGAAACTTAAATTGGCAGAGTCACTCATCTCTATCCAAGGTACATCCTATAGGGGCTTGAATGACCAGTTGGCTGGCCATCCTGCCACTCCAAAGGTGACAGCTACCTTTCACCAGAAAATCCAATAGATGGATAACCACTTGTGGGTGGTGGAGGCAGTACAGATGGTCATCCTTTTCCCAGAATGCTTCGTTCATTAAGAGTGCAGGAACAACAGAATCAGAGACATTTGGCCACAAGTGGCCACTGCAAGGGAAGGTGCTATTGCTAGAAAGGAGGGAGGAGGAGCCCAGTTTGGAGCAATGCCATTGTTAAGACTTGTTGCATTCTTTTGTCTCTCGCTATTAGTATTGAATAAAACTCATTAAACAGGACTTTACCTTGTTTTCCCTGCTCTTGCTACAACTGGGGGAGAAATAGCTTTCCTGTAGCCTTGACAATTCCCTTCCAAGGGAAGCCAACATGGTGCCCTCTCAAAGTTGTGGTTTATATCACCCCTGAGCATTGGTTGATGGGATCTGGAGGGCACCCCATGGGCTCCCTATGGGAAGGTTTTTATCACTAAACACAGCTCTGAAATGGTAATCAGTGTAGCATTTATTTCAGGGTCACAGAATCATAAAATTGTAGAGTTGGTCAAGTGCAATACTACTATTTTTTAAACGCAGGACCAGGGCTGCACTTTATTTAAACCATACAATAAAAACAATTTCTTCCCATCACTCTCTTCAAGGCCCCCTTCACTTCTTTGTTCCTCAAGCTGTAGATCAGAGGGTTCAGCATAGGGATAACAACAGCATAAAAAACTGACACCACTTTGTCATAGTTCAGAGAATGAGCCGAGCTGGGTTGAAGATACATGAAGAAGAGGGTGCCATAGAAAATGATAACAGCTGTCATGTGTGAGGCGCACGTGGAGAAGCCTCTTTGACTTCCACCTGCAGAGTGTTTCCCAAAGACGGCAGACAGAATGTAGACATAGGAGACGATGATTGCTGAGAGGGAACTGCATAAGTTGATAGCAGATAGAGCTAAAAGCTGGATTTCCTTCGGTCGAGTGTCAGAGCAGGACAAAGCGAGAAGCGGTGGGTCATTGCAGTAGAAATGATTGATCACATTTGATCTGCAGAAGGACAGCTGAAACGTCAAGGCTGTTTGAACCACTGAGCTCGCAAAGCCATAGATATATACACTGGCCACTGCCGCAGTGCAGAACTTCTTAGACATAACTACGTAATAAAGCAATGGGTTGCAGATGGCCACATAGCGATCATATGCCATCACAGACAGTAGGAAGAATTCAGTCATCACTAGACCATCAAACATGTAAAACTGTGCTGCACACCCAGCAAAGGAAATGGTTTTCCTTTCAGCTAAAAGGTCCCATATGGCTTTTGGAGTAACTGCGGAAGAGTAGCTGGCATCCAGGAAAGCCAAGTGACTGAGAAAGAAGTACATTGGGGTTTGTAGCTGTTGATCCATCCTGATCAAGATGATCATCCCTAGATTTGCACCCAGAGTGATGGTGTAAATCGCCAGGAATGTGATAAAGAGGATAGCTTTCAATTCTGGATGATCTGTGAATCCTGAGAATATGAACACAGTCACTTGGGTTTGATTTTTTGCGGTCATTTATCCTAGGTCTTTTCACCTGCCAGGGAGAGGTAAAAATGGAAACTTGAAAGGAAGAAAATAGCTAGACTTGAAGATTTATTTGCAGCACAAATTGCAAATTTGATCAACTGGAACTAAACAGCTTCCAAATTCAAAAGTACATTTCAAACATACAGGATAGAAAAGGATGTGAAATGGACATCATAGCTTAATTTCTGTTGTCACTGTGCAATGGATCAAAGAGTTGATCTCTGTGCTTGCTTTTCAGCAACTCTAAATGGGAAAAGTACTCTTTTAAAATCTTTAGTTAGAAGGATAACATTAGAAGCAGTGTGAGCTGGGAGGGAGTCTGATTCCACTTTGCATTATCTTTCTTATTACTGCAGAGCTGCAGAAGAGTTCTACATAGCACTGTTACTCTGAAGGTGATGGTGGGACTTTTTCAATGTTGTCATAATCATGACAAATGTGGATCAATAATCAAGCTGTTGTGCATATTCTAATTCTGGAAAAATACATTTGATCTAGTGCCAGTGGAAAAAACCCTCTTCCATTTCAAATTTTATTTTCATCTACTTTCATTTTATTTTTACTATCCTCCCCTCATTAAACGATACTTTACAATTTGGGCTGATAGGTCTTGCATTATCTCCCTTTTCTTTTGCTTATCTTTTTCTTCCTCAGGTGTTTTGGAAGCCTGCTTTTTTCTTTTTCTTTTTAAAAAAGCTGGGTTTTGAGTGTGCGTGGTGCTTTATAAATTGATTGTAAAGCAATTACTATAAAAAGACTGCAATGCAATTTGGACCACTTGAATTTCTTTAAGCTGCAAACTGTTGTGAATACTGAGTTTACTGACTTCAAAGGGAAATATCTCTATGAATTTTCTCATTTGCCATGAGAAATAAGCTGCAAACATAGTAAAAGCCCCTTCAAGCTTCAGCCTTCCACCCAGAGGTTGATAATCGATCCGATGCCTGAGCCAAAGTCTACCTATATCTGTACTCAGTAAAGGTGTGGCCGCCTTTCCAATCCCAGAAGGTTGTCGTGTCAAGTTTGTTCCAAATATCTGTGCTCAATGTCTTTGTCCACAGGGGTGGGGGGTGCTGTGGTTGGATCTGCAATAAACTTTTTATTTCTCATGGAAAATGTGGATAATATCAGTGGGAGTCAAATGGCATCTTTGGGGGTAAATACTAGCAGATTGGAGAGGATTTCCACGGGAAAATAGTGCCTAGAGAAAAGGCCAACTCACCTTCTTCCCATGGTCCTGGAAACACACGCATAGTAAATACATTGTCTACCATGGATCTTACTCCAGCTTAGGTTCTAGAGCTTTGAAATGCAAAACTACATAATATATCACCCTAGTATTAACACTACTGTTAAATTACTCCAACTGTGTACATTTACCCCATACAAAAGCTCCTCATATATCCAGCTCACCAAACAGACATAGTACTTCTGTTGAAATATTTTTCATAATTTGCAAAAGATGGAAGTAAACACAGAGTTAATTACTGTTGATGACAGAGAAGAACAGCAGGAACCTTTAATTCCTAATCACTGGCTGTCACAAAGTTATTACCCAAGACCCACCTGATCTAAGTAATGCAAGTTACAGCAGAAAAACCAGGTAGGGTAGAATTAATAGAATGGGGTATTTATAATATCTGCTTTAGATAATCTCTTGAGTACTTTATGCCTTGAACGTCTCAATACTCAATTAAAGGCACACAGCAATTAAAATGAATGCACAGGGCACCATAGTTTACTTTTCTCCACTCCCTTGGGGTTTCCAGTTTATTATATTCTCTTACCTTATATTTGGATCGAACGATATGTTACACATGAATGTATGTCTCAGAACCTTGACATCTGTGTCATTTATGGCACGGATGGAGAACCTGTGCCTCGCCAGCTGTTTTTGCACTCCAGTCCCCATCAGCCCCACCCAGTATGACCAATGCTAGGGCTGGTCCGCCCATAAGGTGGGCTGAAGCAGCCACCTTGGGCAGCAGAATCCCATGAGGCAGCACCCATGCGGACACTTCGCCCATCCCACCATTGCCACAGTTGTGGCAGCTTCTGGTGTGGCAACTGTGGCAGCTTCTGGTGATGGTGAGGTCTTGTGGAATTGCATGCCGAGGCCCCGTGACCCACAGTTCCCTCTGAAAACAAGGGAAAGTTGGGTGTTGTCTGAAAAAAGAATGTGACATATTGAGAAATGTTCAGTAGCTAGTGAAAGAGAATGGATAGGATCTTGAGCAACAAAGTTGATGGAAGGAATCACAATGAAATAACACTGTGACACAGAAATGCTCTGACTTCCTTGAAGTGATTATCACGTTGTAGAAGGTGGTCATAACTGATTCATTGTAACTCAGTTTAAGGATAAGGTCGTCATTATTGAGAAGATATGCATAAAGATACTAGCATCCCAGATGGGGTCAGACTAAGGAAAGGGGTCTAACTTTCTTTGTTCATGTAACACAACTATGTAGTTGAGGGAAGAACTGTAATTCTACTGGATTATTGAAAATGGTTTATTTTAAAGTTACTGCAACTTTTTATATTGGATCAGATTGTTACTATTAATGTTTGAATATATATAAAAATAAAAAATTGTCCAGTAGCACCTTAGAGACCAATTAAGTTTGTTCTTGGTATTAGCTTTCGTGTGCATGATACCAAGAACAAACTTAGTTGGTCTCTAAGGTGCTACTGGACAATTTTTTATTTTTATATATATTTTGACTGTGTCAGACCAACATGGCTACCTAACTGAATCTATTAATATTTGATTTTGATTTTGATTTTTACGTGTGTTGGAAGCCGCCCAGAGTGGCGGGGGCAACCCAGCTGGATGGATGGGGTATAAATAAAATTATTATTATTATTATTATTATTATTATTATTATTATTATTAGTCAATAGTAGAGGATCTGCTTTGCATGCAGAAGGTCCCAGGTTCAGTGTCTCCAGGTAGGGCAGGGAGAGCTATTTCTGAAACCCTGGAGAGCTATCACCAGTTAAAGTAGAGAATAGCGAGCAAGTTGAACCAATGGTCTGGAACAGTGTAATGCATCTATGTAATCTTACCTTGGTTTAAATTGTTCAGTCTTGGGGTGCGACATTGGTTACCATCATTTCCCTCAATGCTTTTGGAAGGGGGATGTTCTTTCATTTTTGTTGTGGCTTTTCTAATGGCCTCTTTCACCTCTTTGTTTCTCAAACTATAGATTAGGGGGTTGAGCATGGGTATCACTAATGTGTAAACTACAGAAACCACCATATTACCATCTAGTCCAGATTTCAAGTTGGGATGTATATACATAAAGGTCCCCGTTCCATAAAGCAGAGCCACTGAGGTCAAGTGAGAAGCACAAGTGGAGAAGGCCTTGTGTCTGCCCTTGATAGAGTGTATTTTCAGGATGGCAGATAAAATGCAGAAGTAGGAGATAATAATGGCTGAAAGAGAGGTCATAGCAACTGCTCCAGATGCAAAGACTGACAGTGACTCTGAAAGGAAGGTTTCAGAGCAGGAAAGCTTCAGAAGTTTAGGGATATCGCAGAAGAAATGTTTGATGATGTTGTGTCCACAGTAGGATAATCTGAATATACATACTGTCTGCAGCGCTGAGTTGGCAAAACCAGCTGCATACGATCCTACAACCAGGCAGCTGCACACTCTTTGGGACATGACAGCAGAGTACAGAAGTGGGTTACAAATAGCCATGTAGCGGTCAAATGCCATCACAGCCAAAAGGAAACACTCGGTACTCACAAAGGCAGCAAATGAGCACAGCTGAGCAGCGCAGCCAGCATAAGAGATGGTTTTATCACCCACCAAGTAGCTCACCAGCATCTTGGGGGCTATAGCAGAGGTATAGCAGAGGTCTGTGAATGATAAGTGGCAGAGGAAGAAGTACATGGGAGTGTGCAGGTGGGAGTAAGTCCTGATCAGCACAATCAGGCTGAGGCTTCCAGCCACAGTGATAACATAGATGGCTAGGAAGAGCAAGAAGAGGGCAATCTGCACCTTTGGGTCATCAGTGAATCCCAGCAAGATGAATTCTGTCACCCTGCTGTGATTATTCTGCTTGTCCATCTTTTCAGCATCAAGAACCTGGAGAGCAAAGATGATAATTGAATAAAGCAAGTAAATAAAGCTGAATAATACCAACCTATCTAATAGTTATATGTTATGCTAATTTGTATTTTTATTTTAGATATTCTAATGATTTATGTGGAAATTGCATATTTTAGTTGTGCACTTTTAAACGTTTTATTTACTGTTCAAGACTACTTTGTTATGTTTGTAATCATGATTCCCCCCCCCCAAAAAAAAATGCTGTAAGCCACATTGAGCATGGTTTTAACTATGGAAAGGTGGTGTATGTAATGCATGCCTGTATGTTTTGGCCATTTTGCTAGTAGTGAGAAGCCACATGGAAGAGATTTTTCTTTTTTACTCATAATAACTAGCATCACATAAAGCAGGGATGGAGAGCAGGAATGGAGGCTACGAGATGCTTTTGGACTACATCTCTCATGATCCCTGAGCATAAGTCATGCTGGCTGTAGCTGATGGGAGGTGGAGTAGAAGAATATTTGCAGGGTGACAGGTAAGGATGGGGGAGGATTTTGGTTGGTTCCAGAATTTGGGACAAAACTCCATGGTCTACATTTGATGGGCTGGATGGGAACATAGACATGCAGATTAGATTGCATGTCTACAGACCTTTCTAATCCTGATCTGCTCATTCCTAGTTTTTTTCTTTTCTTTTATGGCATTGCCCAAGGGCTTACAGGCTCTTTTTCTCCTTTTAAAAACATTTTTCCACTGCTTGGCAGTGATAAGGTTACTAAGAACATTTTACATGGGGAGAGTGTGTGTGTACTAGGATGGGGATCAAGTAAAGAAGAGTTCTGGGATGATGTTGTTTTATTTCTGGAAACTCAGATAAAGAAGGAAGCCTCGCCTCAATGCTCCACCACAAAACATTCAGTGCTGACTA